AAACAAAAGAAAAACGATGAGGCGCTGCAAGATGACGTACTCGTAACGCTACGAAAAGTCAAAGTAATCATGGACTTCTTCGTCTATTTGCTCACGCACCTTGCTCAGCAACTCCTCGACCAACTCCTGCCGAAGGGAGAGGACGCAGACATCGAACTGCGCACACACAGGGCGGTGGTCCGACTGCCGCATGACTGGTACGTGGTGGTAGCCCAACACGTTCACCGAATTCACCACCGTCGGGAAGGTAATGTTGCGCCGATCCATGCACGTGGAGCGCCGTATGGAGAGAAAAGTTGGTACCTTTTGCTCCGTAAGGGAAGCCGCGGGTGGCACTGATGATGCCGCAGCCTCGGCACCCCAACTAGTCGCCCCCGCTCTGCAGAGGAAAGTGTCTGAGTGCCCGGACCCCATATCGCCACTTTCGCTGCTGTTTGAAGTGGTGGACGTGTACCGCGACGCGATATCGTCTCTGGACCTGAGAAGTGGCCCGTGTATACTCGCGTGTGGCAGCACGAGCTCCGGCATGCTGTGTGGCATGGACGCACCATGGCGGCACGTACACGAGACCCGCGTCGAGTTGCACAGAGCACAGGCTGTTGCTGTTCTTGTGGCTTGTTTTGCTTTTGCTGCTTCTGCTTCTGCAGCAGCTTCCGCCACACTATCAGTTTCCTCGCAGGGCAGGAGCACGCGGAAGAGAATGCGGTCGCACCACGCCGGGTCGCGCTTCTTTCGGCTTGTGTCGTATAGATCTGTGCCGCGGTCAAACTTGTACGTTGGTGGGAATGTAATGAGCGCCTCCTGAAAACCGTCAAATGTGTCGCCGCTCACCATGCCTTGCCGCAGCTCGTCGTGACAGATGAGAGGGTCGTACGCGCCGCGCCGCACGAGGCGGAGTATGTCACTTCTCTTGACACCGTGCAGCCGTGAGTTGAGGTCGCCAAGGAAGAATACGTAGTCGTGCCGATCCAGCACGCGCCGCTCGCTCGCCCCCGATGTGGTGCGGCGGAACGGGCGGTACAGCCGCTCCCACGTGGAGCGTCGCTCAATCACACTGTACGCCATGTCAGGGGTCTCGGCGGCGGCGTCGAACGTCCGCAGCACGTCGATCTCGTCGTCAGCGTCCGCCGGGCCCTCGAAGCGAAGGTGGCACAGCGACGCGCGGTAGTTGAAGCTTCGTGTGCTCTCGTTGTGCTTGTGCGGCACGAAGTGTGCGGCGATGAGCAAGAAGCGCTTGCCGTAGATGGTGGCGCGCAGGCCGACGGAGCCCTTGTTACCCCACACCCCGCGCATCGCGCCGGTGCGGGTGAGGGACGCGCGGATGCCCGTCACGTACTTGGCGTGCTCGACGCGCACCACCACGATGAGCACGAGTCCCACCAGCTGCACCATCTTGAGCTTCCGGTACCACACCCGCTGCTCGCCAATCTTGTTAAGCGCGTCCACGATGCACTCCGCCCACGCCACGCCCGTCTCCGTGACCTCTTTGACAAGGACGACGCCGCCCATCTCGACCTCCTGCAGACTCACGACCAGAATGTCGGGGAACTCCGAGAGCGGAAATGCAGGAACATCATCCGTGGAGAAATTATGCTCCTTCTTAAGAGCAGCGCGGTAAGCTGCAATTTTGTTCGTCAGATTCTTTCCTAGAAGCCATTCGTACAGGCCCTTCTTGGGCTCTGGTGGCTGCTGCCGGTCCACATTCCATGTGCATGCGTGGACGCGAATTTTTCTCCGCAGGGATTCAGGTTTCTCGAGCTCCAGGCGCTCCTGTATCAAGGCGTTGGCGAAGCGGCGACGCTGGGTCGCGTCGTTACTACCATCACTAGATCCAAAAGAATGACTCGGGTTGTCGGCATCTGTTGCCGAATCAAGGCTTAATAAAGTGCTAATATCCCGCGCAATACTCTGCGTAATCTTCCGGCCACGTGACGCTGTTCTCCAGATCTCACTGGAAAAGTCATCGTCTTTTTTCGAGAGCGCGTCGCCATCCTGATTGTTTTCTACTCCTGTTCCCCCTGCCACAGGCGCTGCTTCTTCCTGTTTAGAAGCGGGGCGTCCGAAGGCGACCAGAAAAAGGTTTCCAATCGCCACAAACAGGGAGAAGAGATAAAAAAAGATCCTCACTACGATTGACGTGCGGTCGATGTTATTATTCGGACATGTGACCACGCCCTGGTGGAAGCCCGAGTTGTCAACGCCACTGCTGACGCTGCTGGTAGCACCACAACTCTCCATCCTCTTGGATACTTCTAAGGGGGGAAGAACCGTTGGGGAATCAACGGGGGCACTTCTTTCTTCAGATGATCTCGCTGAGGATTGCATGGCCCCAGAGTATCTCAGTTCTTCATACTCATGCAGAATGTGGGTGAGTAAATGCAAGAGGGAACAAAAAAACAAAACAAAAGGAACAATGCGGATGCGTCAACTGAGAGGCTGAGGGCTGGAGAAAGTGCGGGTATGAGACATACTTCTAGGCTCAGAGACACGCCATCTCCCCGTACACACGGATTGAGTTGAATGCGTTGATCCTTGTTTCTGCCTTCCATTGAGCAATAAGGAGTGGAACTTTCCGCATACAGTAAAAGAAACACCCTGCTCGTGCTTCCCTTCTTGCTAGTTTTACATCGCATGTCTTCGTCAACCACACGAAGTCATGAGGCAATTCCAGGCCCACACACACAAACACAGACAAATAAAAGCAACCACCACAAACTCTACCGCGCCCCCTTGCCCACTCTCGCAGCGCCACGAGTGGTTGACACCCTGGGTGGCGTCCTCACATTCAGTGCTGATGGCAACTGATGGGCACCCCCCAGCGTACGGCTACTCCGCTGCAGCAAACCCCTCAGTAAGGTGTCAAGGAACTGAAGTGCAGTCCTGTACGGGTCGCCGGCGCCAGATCCGGGCGCCACGGGAGTGGCGACACGACTGCTCTTCTTGTGCATATCCGCAGGCGTGCGTCTGAGAGTGGACATCAACGCGGCTGCTCCACCAGTTGAGTTCTCCGTGCTGAGTGCCGCTGCTGTCGCTGCCGCTGCCGCTGCCTTGGTGATGCCATCATCAAGAATGCGAAACCCGGTGACAACACCCATGAGCGCGTCGCGCAACACAATGAGAAAGCTCTCACGGCATGGGTTCGTGTCAACCGCTTCCGCCATATCCCGTTTGATACAACTCACGGCATCTTCAATAGGTTGCAGAAAGACAGAGGAAGCCGTGCTGAGGGGAGGATTCCTCGGCATTATGCACAGCGGCATCCGCGACAGCGGAAGGGGCGCCATGGCGTTGTTAGTATCATGCCACCACACCGCCCTCTTCTCGCTTCTGGCGTGGCTTTCCTTAGCCGCAGCTGTTGATGGCGCACTACTAGCGCCTCGGACGGCAGGTATGAAAAGGTTGAGGCGTTCCCACAGCTTTCGTGGCACACACGAGGCCAGCGCCGCATCATCGGGGGCGCACAGGCTCTCTGCTTGTATGGCGACCTGCTGCAGCAGAAGTGACCCGCTCAGTGTGGCCGAAACTCTGTGCAACGCGTCTGGCGTCACAAGAATTTCCCCACCGCGCGCCAGGAGCCCAAGGGTAGCAACGGCGTCTAGTGCGGCACCGCTGACGTCTCCCGCCTCGCCGTACTCCCCGCGCGCTGACCGCGTGGAATGATAGTCTTGCGACGCATGGACCACCGTCTTTGCACGGACGCCGTGAAAGAGCAGGGTGCCTGTCTTGGCACTCTGCACGTGGAGGGTCGCCTCGATGGTGAGGAGCCGCGTCGGCCACTCCACTTCCAGCAGGCTGCGTTGAATCTGCAGCGCAGTCTCCATCGCACGGTGGGGGTCGGGGAAGATGACAATGTACGCCGTCACCGAGTCTGTCTTGGCAATGAATCCGTCGTACGCCAGTACCGCTTTCTGCACCACGTAATTATACAGAGCCATGATTTCCTTGTACAAGTCATCCGGGACCATGCAGGAAATGCCAGCGGCGTCGTTGACGTCGCAGAACATGAAGCCAAGTTCTGGCTTATTATGCATGCCAATGGACGCACCGCTGACAGGCCACGGCAGCCGCAGTGCCATGTGCGCCGTGTGGTCCCACGCCGTGTCGTGCATCGCCATCGTCGCCGCCTCCGCTCGCTCAATGAGTTGCTGCTGCTGTTGCAGCATTTGAACCGCCTCCTCACGGCGCAGGACGTCCTCCTCGAGCTGCAGTGCTGCCATAGCAGAGCGGGCAGGGCACTCCCACTGCTTTTCGGCTATCTTACCGTCGACGCTCATCTGCCATTGACGTCGGTACGCGTACGGCTTGGGTATGATTGAGCAGAGATCGACCAAACTGGATTGCCTGCCAAAGATTCGACCACCACACCGAAGCACGTTGTATGCCATACTTGCAAGGTTAACCTTGGTTGCGTAGTAGGCCTGCACGACGTCAGCGGAGGCGAGAATCTCCCCGTAGCGGGCAACGTCGCACAGGCTGCCTGAAAGCGCCAGTGCCTTGCCGCGACACAGCACACCACCACCACTATTGAATGCAGCGGCAGAAGCTGAACCACCAATCATACGGACCAGGTGCCCTTTTGTGAGGCCGCCGCGCATAAGGCACATTTCCGACATCGTGGTAAGTGACGCGCATTTCTCACTCACAGTTGTGTACACCTGCGCAGCAAAGCACAGAGCATGCTCCGGTTGTCGGAAAGCAAACGTGAACACGTCTTTGTTGTTACCATTTACGTGAACGCCGTTATTCTTCTTCCCACTCGAGAGGATAGTGCAGAGTAGAAGATCGCGCAGGTGATCATGCTCCTCTGCGTTTAACGTTGCTTGCGTGATCTGCCGCCACGACGCATCATCACCAACATCGACGGTACACACATACGAAGCTTCATCAGGGTTGATGGACTGAAACCGGGACAGATACCAGTCTTCCGCCTCCATCGCAGACTGCTCCTGAAATGCAGAAACCGCCTCAAGTTTTTTGTACAGGCTGATGATGTTTGTCCGCTCTCTTCGCAGCGAATATAGGGCGAGGAGATCTGCGCAGTTGGCATCCCTCTCCTCCGTTGCATGTTCCTCGGGGTCCTTGAGACCATCAACCCAACCCTCATGCTGCTTCTGCTTCTGCTTCTGCTGTTGTAGTTGTAGCTGTTGTTGTGGCTGCACGCTGCCAGTACAGAGGCGGGTAACACCTTTCATGGGGTTCAACACGCGCGGCACCAACTTTTCGGGGGAGATGATACTGCGCGCGAACCGTGGCACGGGCTGCAGATAGTACGGTGGTAGCCCGCGCCGTCGTTCCAGTGCGACGGGGAGGATTGAGCACAGAAGATCCCGCACCGATGGATCCACCGTGACGACACTCCAGCCAGCACCCAATTTAGAACGTACATGCTGCACATCAGCACACACCTCGGCGTGCACGTCGTTCATAATGTTCATCTCCTTGCAGAATAGCTTTGCCCACGCCTCATTGGCTACAATCTCGCCGATAGGCGCGCCGTTCAATGCCGCCGTGACGGCGTCGCGCACCTCTTGGCCATAGTACACCGGCCGCCCGTTGATTGGGTCCACTTCCGTCCCCGGGTTGCAGGTGTACATGCAGGTGTGCATGCGAGGTCCGCTGTACAACACCTCACCATTGTCGATCACCGGCGCGAAGTACGGGATTTCCGACGTGCGTGACGGCCATGCGAGGTTCGTGACGCCGAGATGACACTCTTTCGAAAAGTACAAGGCAGCGGTGCCACTGTGGAATGCGAACACCTCGAGCTGATCGACGGAGCAGACGTGGTAGCCCCTGTACTGCCGCGCAGTGCTGCGCAGGAGCTTCTGATAGATGTTCATCGTGAACTCCTCCCCGCCCACATGCGGACACGTCACGTTCGACACGATGTGCATCACAAACGTCACGTCACGCACTGGCAGCTCGGCGGCGTCGAAGCGCTGTACGTAGTAGAGGTCATCGTGAGTCTCCATAAGGACCGCCTCCATGCACTCCAGCCGGCGCAGCCCCGCCGCACGAACGCGCGAGGCAATCTTCGCTTTCTCGAAGGCCATCTCCACCCGATTCGTCTGCCGCTGGCGCAACACGTCGTCTGCCACCCGCTCTTTCAACGCGTCATTCTCGCAGCGCAACGCCTCACTCTCCGCGCGAAGCCGCTCCACTTCGTCGCCAAGAACAATAAGCTGTACCTTGGCGTCCGTCTCCATCTTCAGCATGGCGCCGCGCATCTCTTCCACGGTAGTCACCAACTCCTTGTTCCACTCGGATATCTGCTGTAGGCCATCCTTCTTGAAAGGCTGGTCAAGTAGCGGTGCTGACATGTGCCGCCGCAGCGTCCTCTTCGGGTGACTGTCGATCGTGCGTGTCTCTGAGAGCGCCTGCTCGAGCTCTGCAACCTTGTCCTCTAGTTCAGCGATGCGGCGCTTGGCCCGGTCGCAGAAGATGATGAGCTCCGCGAGGCGGCTGCTCTTGTCGTCGCTGCTGGCAACGGTGGCAGCGGCCTCCGCATCCTGAGACATCCGGCCTTCTATGTGCTTATTGTAGCAAGGAGAAAATAATTCGAAAATGAAAATATGAGGAAGGAACCCGTGGCGGGTGTGTGGAATGAGGTGAGGGAACGCAGCGCAGACATTGACCCGACTTGAAAAGACACCAGAAGGAGCACCACAACGGCGGCAAAAAAAAAAAGCAACAGCGGCAAGCACAAGGGTATAGCGTCACGACGTACACTCCCCATCGTATCGCCGGGCCTCCTCGACAATTTCAACCTTCACTGGAGGCGGGTGGAGCGGCACTCGTTGTGCCTTCACTTCATCTTCAGCGTGAAGCACGGCGTTGAGAGGCACATAGATCTCCAGTTTCTCAAGTGAATCCTCTACTGCCCCTTTCTCCGCCTCGAGACATCGCAGCGTGATCTCCAGGCGGCAATTGCGCTCCTGCAGCTGCTCTCTCTTCTGCTGCAGCTCCGCGAGGAGCTCCCAAATCTGAGCGGCTGTATTGCTGTTGTTCAACGAGCCTTCCGCGGTCCCACCCCTTTCCGACTGTGATGACGACGGCCCACTGCCACCGCAGTCGTGCATCTCCATCATGAATTCCTCCAACGCTTCTCGTAGCTGAAGCTCCTTCCGGGACAGCCCTGCGAGCGCCTCTTTGCACCGCGTAAGGGTTGTCTTGATGGAGTCAATCTTACTCTCGAGAAGATGCAGCTCCGCCTGCGACTTCTGCAGAGTGCTCGCAACAGTTTCTTCCTTCTCGTCGTCCTCATAGCCATCAGCTACAGTCCTCTCATCCGCACTGTTGCGTGGATGAAGCCAGCGGAGGGCCCACGCCCAGACCATTTAGGACGCTGCTGCAGCTCACTACGCGCACAGCAACCTGCAACAGAACACATACATACAGTCATACACATACACGCAGAAGCATGGAAAACAAAGGAGCACAAACCATAGGAGTCTGAAAGGAAAACATAAGCGACGAAAACAGTAAAGACAGGCGCTGTGGAACAGAATGGGAGAAATTTCATGTGGGAAGGAAGGGTGCATGTGCTTGATAGTGCCAGTACAGAAAATATATTCACGCAGGCACCTGTAGCAAGCCAGGTGCTGGAGAGCACGACTAACGCTAGGTTTACGCCTCTGCGTGAGACGATTGTATAATACACAAGTTTCTGCATATAAGGAGCGACACGTCAGGGGGTGCGTTTCCAAACCACTAAGAGCAAAAAATGAAATCAGCATCATCATTCCCCACAGAAGGGACCGAAATATGGCACCAAAGAACAACCTGCAGCTTCGTATTAACTGGAAATCTAAAATACTTTAGAGCTTACATTCCACCCCATAGCCCTGGACGCTCTTTCTCGAGCAGCATGTGCCTCCGCTAGGAAGAATGTGATCTTCCTTTTTCAAATTCTCTTCGCGTGAGTTCCTCCAGCTGCATCAGAGCCTGACGAATTCTTCCCTCGGAGAAGCACAGCAAAATAGTTCGCAATGCACGCCGTTCAAGAAGCATAATCGAGCGTCGATGCTTTTGTTCACTAGATATGATGCGGAAGAGTTGCCTTTGCAGAACTGTTGGTTGACGACGACGGCGCTTTTCGATCGTCTGCAGCCGTCGCTCTTCTTCGAACGCTGCCGCTGCTTCTTCTTCGGCCGCACGTTTCACCTCCGCCGCACCCCTCTTGCCGAGGCGATTCGGCCCAAGGGTTTTGTGTGCTGCACCGTTCTCACCCGCGCGGCGGCGAGTGGAGCGCATGCGCCAGTTTTGCATCTGTGGGCTTGTATCACATGTGCGTGGGCGACCGAATGTGCTGCTGCACGCCGCCCGGACGCGTGCCACCTCCGCCCGCCAATCGAAGTTCGACGACTCATCGTGCGGATTGCGCTTTGTCGCTACCTTAGCCTGCTGGTGGTCCTCCAATGCCACCTCGTAGGCGCCGTGGATCACCTGAAACCGCTCCTTCGCGTTCGGCTCGGTGGAGCGGTCAGGGTGCGTGGCAACAGCAAGTTTGTAGTACGCTACACGAATTTCGTCGTAGGATGGGTGCGCCCGCAGTCCAAGGACCTTCCACGCCTGCCGCACACGGTCGCGGCTGCGAACACCCGTAGACATGCCACACTCCTACACTATGCGGATAAATAAGCAGCAGCAATAACACCTAAAAACGGTGGCGAGAAGGAGTACACATCACACCTCACATCATGTGGTTGCTTAAAGAGTGTCGAACAAGTAAATTGGAAACTGTGAAGTTTTCTGCCGGATAGCGAAAGCACCTTCTCACTGATTGTAGCGCAGTAATAGCTGCTGAACGAGAATTTTCTGCGCGCGCTTCCGTCCCATCTCCTCTGCTGCATTCGCCGGAGACGGCTGCTGCTCCTGCACTGGTGCAGCCGACGCTGCAGGAGCCTTTACAACATTCTTCCCCGCATTCGTCGTCGTTGCGGCTGCTGTCGCGTGGTTCTGCCGATGCAGCAGCGCATCGCGTAACCGCTTCAGTGTGGCCTCTCCACCCGAGCCCACTTCAATGTAGTCGGCAACTGCACTAAGTATATCGGCGTCGATCATCTCTTTTGGTGACGGCTGCAGCCACTCAATTTCAGCGAGCATTGTGGTGAACTGCGTGACCAGCTCATCGCGGCTGCCCATACTTCAAATACAGTGAAGGAAAAGGCGCCTGCGGCTTCAAAACGGATAAGAGCGAGGAAAAAGAAGAGTCTAAATTCGGAGAACAGTGTGCGCAAGGCAAGAATATGCACCACAGACCACACAGATTTCAACACAAATGCTCAAAAATGTGAAGGAATCCATGATAGCTTTCCCCCCTCCCCCCCCAACAGCGGAATTAAAAATACAACAGCAACCTCAAGCACACGTCGGCCTGCCTCGTAAACCTCCGATAGCCACGCATACGGAAGCAAGACAGGGCTTTCCAGGTCTAGAGCCCCCTTCCTACATGATTCGTTCAGCCTGACATTCTGCTCCGCAATGACACGTGCAAACGCTCGCAACTGCATGTGTCGACGCCAGTGGAGGATTCAATGAAGCGCGTTCCTAACCTTCATGTCACAGCTGCTGATAATCTCCACTGCAGTGTCAGAAGTTGTATTATTAATGGCAGGGCGTGGAGGCGTTTCACACGCACGGTATGCCGAAAAGGGCACCAAACATGTGGGGCTACCAATCCGCACTGGAGACACCGTACCTGAGCTGAGTTCTGGTGCTGTTGTTGCTGCTACACGATGCAAGAGCGAGAGGGAGCTGTTGGACGTCATTAAAGCATGTGACTCGGCAGGCCCACTCGCACACCACACCCACACACACCCCTCCTCCTCCTTCCTCCACCCAATTCTCAGCCCTGTTGTTGTTGCTGTCCATCCCATCAACTAAGGCGGTGACGCAGCAGAGCACGGCTCGACACACCAGCAGCAGCCGGTCCCGCAGCGATGGGAAGACAAAGTGCATCCGCGCGTGGGCACCATGCGTGTCAACGAAAAGCACCACCGCGTAATGCACCTCCACCCACGTGGTAGCCTCTGGTGCCGCGAAGAAAAGCGTCGCCAGCGCCACGCCCGACACCTCCAAGAACATCATCTTTGACCGCCTGAACAAGAGCCCTCCATGACCAATATTAGCGGTGCTGCAAAAGGGAAACGGACCTGGCACCTCTTCCTCGCGCCGTTGCATTTCCGAATTCTGCGTGCAGAGCACATCCTTCACGACAAGCTTCACGAGACGCTCTAGCACCGCTGGTGGAGCGCCGCGGCCGAGTGTCTGCTCATCCCGCACACGCGTTACAAAGAGGGGATGACTACCGACAAGAAAACACGCAAAGACTTCTTGCTGTTATATTGCACTGAACGCACACGAGCGAAAAATAAGCATTCGACTCCAGGACAACACCAACCATGCACCCCCCCTAAGTTGTGCCAAGCAGCTGTCCGTTCAAGCACACGGGAGGGGGGGGGCAACATTAGCAAAACCACCGAGAATGGCGTTTATATCATTACCTGCGGTGGTTGCCACAGCCGCAATGGCAGCAACACACACACACACACACACACAGAAAGATCACTTTTCAATCCCACTCAAAGACGCCTTGGGGGGTGCAATACTCATTGATACTGTCGGTGCGAGTTAGAAGCGACGAGTGTGGAAGAAGCTCTTCACATACCTCTTCCAAAGCACACAACACCGGTGCTGCGTGCGGCTCTTCTCATATATATATATATATATATATATCTGGACATGCCTCAGTGAACACTACGCACCTCAACGCGCGAAAGCATAACACAGAGAAGCCAGCATCACGAGAGCATACTACGCCTTAGTTCATGATCACCCTACTCTTTCGTCTAAGCCTTCGAACACCAAAAGCGAACAAAGAAAACACAAGTAATAATGAAGCTGAAGAGTACATGCAGAGTCAGTTCAAATATTACACGCATCAATTCCCAACCCTCTACTGCCTTCCCGGCCAGAGAAGCCAAGCAACGGAAGTGAGGGTGACCCGCTCTGCAAAACGTGTGCATGAGTCTCTGTTCTTGTTATTTTTGTTGTTGGTAATCTGTGGTAAGCAGCGAGCAGTGCCCTGTCACGCCGGCTGGCGGATTCCGAGCTCATGGTCGACGGTCCACTCCTCCATCTCTCCTAGTGAGGATCCGACCTTCACTGTCACACGCAGCGGCACTAGCAGCGACACGGCGTGCGTCATGCCATGCGACACGAGCGGCACAACCTCCCGAAGCTTGCGCGTCGGAAGCGATAGAACAATCTCGTCGTGTATTTGTGCCAGCAGCCGCACATCCCCGTCTTGCCGTTGCAGCACATCACGCTCCACGCTGAGCATGCCGAGCTTCATCACATCCGCAGCACTCCCCTGTACGACGGTGTTGAATGCCTGACGCTCGGCATACGCCCGCTTCCCCATAACGCGGTCGTTGATTTCCGGCAGGCAGCGGATGCGACCGCTGAGTGTTCGAACGAAGCCGTCGGCCCGGCATTGCTCGACCACGCGGCGGTGGTAGCGGTCGATCTGCGGGTACGACGCCTTGAAGAGCGAGGTGACGCGAAGTGCCTCCTCCATTGTCACGCCCATCTGCGTCGCCAGAGTGCGGGGGCCAGCGCCGTAGAGCATTCCGAACACAACGCGCTTCGCAAGCGAACGCTCCTCGGTGCTGACAGGCGATTTGCGAAATACGGTCTCGGCAATGGCGCGGTGAATGTCAGTCGCGTTGGTGAGGGCGTCGACAAGCGCGGCGTCCGCACACAGGTGCGCCAGTACCCGCAGCTCAATCTGCTCATAATCGACGGAAAGAAGCGTCCAATCAGTCGGCATGGCGAAGCAGCGGCGAAACGACGCCATCTCCGCCTCGTGCGATACAATGCTGTCGTCGTCAGTTGCAATGACTTTGCTGCGTGGAAGGTTCTGCAGGTTCGGCTCCACACACGAAAGTCGCCCAGTGTCAGTGCCCTCCTGCACAAAGTTGGGGTGCAGCTTCACCCACTTGACCCGACCGCCGCCCAGCTCCTCAGTCGCACCGATGCGGCGGTCTGTGAACTCCCCGTCGTCTCCAACAACAGGGACAGCGGTCTCCATCATGCCAACAGTGTACGTTTGCAGCAGCTTCGCCGCCTTGCGGTACGCAATAAGAACGTTTGGCAGCTTGTGATGTGGTGCGAGAAGCCGAAGTGTCTCTTCTGATGTGGAAAGCTTCCCACTCTTCGTCACCGTAAGGGTGCAGCCGGTGGTCCCGTCGGCTGCGGTGTGCGTAAGGTGCTCGCCAAGGTGGAGGACCTCGTAGAGTGCCACTCGGCACTCATCAAGGTTCTGCATGTTAAAGTCTGGCATGGATGGAACAAGCTGTTGAGCAACGACACTTAGCTCCTCCATCTTGGAAGCACAACGCGCCTTAAAAATCTCCACCTCCGATAGATTGACGAAAAAACCGTTCAGTTTCATCGCCGAGCAGAGTAGAGAGATGCGTTTCTCCTGTTTGAGGAAAGCCGGGAGGAGCCCTTGTGTGCCAAGTTGCCCATAGAGTGAACGGTAGAGGGGTGCCATGTAGTACACACGGTGGGAGATGACCTCCTTGAGTGTGCGTCCATCCGTGTTTCTGAAACCCGCCGGAAGGCTGATCTGTTGCTGGCACGACTGTAGCAGCACGTCGTAGTCGGTGAACGCATCGGCACCCGCTGTGGGCTGCAGCATCCATGACATGAGACGCACATCTGAGATGCAGGAGGTGCTGAGTCTGCCCTGTCGATACGATAGGAGCACAAGTAGAAGTGACGGCGCGTTGAAGGTGACAACTTCAACACCTGGCAGCTCCTCCAATACACGCACGAGGAGTTTCAAACCAGTGGCAGCAGGAAACACAAACACATCATCGTTCCATCGAATGACGAAGGACTGCACCTTCAGATGTGCCAGTTCAGGATTCACTCCCCGCACAAAGTGGACCTTGCCATGTGTACTCGCGGAGATGGAAAAATTCGTCTCCCCTTCTTGCGTGGCAAAGGCCACGAAGAGTGTTGGAGCCTGAATGCGATGCGGGTCATTGAGGGCATCCTGCAGGTCTTCGAAGAGCGGGCATGCATCATCTACCTCCTTGAAGGCCACCAGTGCCGCGTGGAAGGACTCGGGTGCCGGATCGGCGGGCATGCTGAACAGTGTTCGTCGCAGCGGTTCCTCCACTGCGCGCTTCGACGCCGCTGATGTTGGAGCCTTGCGAGCGCCCTGCTTCTTCTTTTTTTTCGGCGTTTGCTGTTGCTGCTGCTCTTCTTCCGAGCGGTTTGCGGCAGACCGACTTCCGCTCCCTGCTGCAACTCGCTTCGACGGCTGTTGTTGTTGCTGCTCTCGTTCCTCCGTGTTCCCGCCAGACTCTCTGCTGCGCTTCCCTGGAACAGCACCACCACCACCACCACTGCTGCTGCTGCCTCTCTGGTTGTGATCCCCTCGCACGTCACGGCGAGGTGCAGCGCAGCTCCTCTCTTCTTTCGCCTCTCTGACACGCGACGAGAGCGCCAGCAGCTGCCGGTGAACGGCGGACGCGAATTCTCTCTCCTTTTCGTTCTTCTCCTTCTCTGCCCCCTCCTCGGCATCCACCACCACATGGTGCAGGTGAGTGTCACTTCGCGCCGCCTCGGAGGGCGTAGGTGCGTCGGCGGACGTCTGCCCGCGAATGACGCCCGCGTCGAGGCCGAACGCCCGCCACTTATCAAGATTGCCTGAGCCGCTCTGCGCGGGCGCGGTGTGCGCGAGCGCGACTGGCACGTAGTGCCGCTGCAGGTGCCCGTGCGCTGACATGCTAAAAACAGGGGGAGCGGGTCTCAGCTGTCGCGTGAAATGCCACAAGTGCAGGGGAGAAGCGTGGAGAATGATGACACGGATCAAGACAGGAAAAAAAAAATTATTTGTATTCTGGCTTTACTTGCTGCACATACGCGTGCTTGACGCACAGTACGCAGATGCCTGCCAATATCGAGCGAAGATAAACGAGCAAAACTAATACTAGACCCTCAAGAGGCACACACACACACACACACAGACAGCAAAGAAAAAAAACAAACAAACAGACAGACGTTCACGGTCAATGTCTGATTAAACGAGCAAGCCCACTCGCACAGACAAACACTCACATATACGATAATTCAGTTCTCACGAACCATTCATTTCTGTTTACCTTTCAAAACGGGTGATCACTCAGCTTCTTCAGGTGCTGCTGAAATTTGCCACTCGAGTCGTAGTCCTCCACACGGCGGCCACTGAGCGTTAGTACGCGCTCTGGAGACCGAAGCAAGTCGACGAGCTCAAAGAACAACTGCTGCTCCAGAAGCAGGCTCTCCATGTACCCGTTGCTCGCGGAAGAGCGCGCCATGTAGATGTAACGCAGCAGCTCCGCGACAGGGTCGGGGTTTGACACCTGCATCAGCACCACGCGGTGGGCGTATCCAGTCACGGCGTTGCGCAGAAACGTCCCCAGCGCCAAAATGAAGGTTGTGTAGAGTGCAATGATGCCGGTGTTCGGCAGGAATGAAAAGGAAGTATCAAGCGTCACATCGGATGATGCGACAACCTCATATAGGCCTGTTGTATTATCATCCGCACCCACCGCTACTTTTGCCATCCGCGTCACCTCCCTATCATCCTTGTGGTGTGACGCCACACTGGATACGCCACTTGCTGCTTGTGCTGCAGCAGTAGCATCGGAAACAGCACGGGTATTGCTGAGGTTCACGTACGACTCGCAGCGGAAGCACCAATACAACACTGATACAGATCCATCGTCGCTCTCGGCAACACTGTTCAACTGCACCGCACAATCCACCTCGGCGTAGCCGGGCACCACGACATTACTCGGAATATTCTTCACAAATGGGCTGTAAAACAGAGGCAGTGAAATCCATTCACTGCTTTGGTACACAAACGCAACA